AAACTAAGTAGAGTCTACCAAAACTGAAGAAAGAATACAATGAGGTGATCTAATACAGACTATTATGTTCCTAATATTATAGTGGCAAAGGTGAATGGAAATTAATTAAAAGGACTCAAATGTTGAGCAACAATTGATCCAGCTATTGTTCCTTTGGAAAAACTAATAAGCATTGCAATATGAAAGCAAAACCCACAGAAATATGACAAATTAGTTCACAGCAAAACTGCAAAATGTAATACCATTGTGGACATTTAAAAAAGTCATTGATACTTATTGACAAAGTATGAAAGAAACATCCTACACACAAGTGCACACACACATGAATATGCACACAAATGCACACATGTACATCTGCACATATACAAACCTGGAAAAAGGCAAGGAATTGATACCAAAATGTTCATCAAATAGAGATGGCTGTTATCTTTAAATGTTTCCTCCAGTTGGTTTGTATTTTATTTGTGATTTCTCTAAATGAGAAAAGTATAGTTTAATATGGTTAGAAGTACCCATTGATATTAAAATACCCTGCAAACGGTCAAATGCTATTCAGGTGTGAATAATTATTAGTCATCATTCTAATTTTTCTATCCTGCTGCTCCTGTGATTTCAACATAAATCATATCTGTGGGAGGTGGCTTCTTTGACCTTTAGAATAACACAGAACTGAGGGGTCAAACCTTAGCTTTCCTTCTTGGTAGGCAGTAACCTTGAGCAAACTAATTAACTTTCGAATGCCTTGGATGTTTTAAAGGTAAGACTGATGGAATGATATCTACAGCAAAGGATTACTCTAAAGTTTAGAATCTAAACATTAAAGGCATTGGCAATAGTAAAGGTCTTGCCCAGAATGAGAACAAGTATTTAACAGTGGTTGGCCCTTATATTATTGATGGTGTCTACTTGAAACATTTTCTGAATTTCTACTCAATGTCAAGGAAGAATTTATACTGTTTTGTAGGATTCATAGACCTGTAAAGAAAATTATGGAGGTTGTTTTTATAACTTCCCTGTGCAGTAAAATGACTGTTGAGTGAATAACGTTGATATGCATAATGATAAACAGTATATATGAATTCATGAGAGTCCCGCACAGATCATGAGCCTACTGCCTAGGAAATTAGACGGTCTTCACAGTAGTAATGACCTTTGCATGCTAAAGAATAAGTAGGTGTTTAACTGGCAATGGAAGAGAGAAGCATGACAGGGAATGAAAAGAACAGACTAAAAGCTAGAGTCATAAAGCAATCTTGCCATATTTGGGACACATGGTTTCTTTTAGGATTACAGAACCAGGACCCACTGTGAGTGAAACACCAGCATCCCTGTGGCTTTGCAAAAGTCAAGTATCAATTCTCAGATGTAACTGGAAGGTTCAAACGTGATCAGATCAATGGGACAAATAGTGATCTGAAAGTGTTTCCTTAGTATTTGCATATGAGATTAGCACTGGAATTTATTGACTCAATAAATGACATTGTCCTCTCCTATATAATTGTGCATTTTTCAACCCACTGACTGTCTGAATTTATTCAGCAAAAATAAGGAAATAAAGATAGTGTCTCCTCAAAACTAAATCCATAGGATAAGCAAAAATCTGAGGATGGATCAGAGGTTTCAAATTTTCTTGTTTTTAAATTTTTTTAAAAATTAATAATTTGGCCTTGGGTGCTGACAAAATGTGTGTGTGTGTGTGTATGTGTGTGTGTGTGTGTGTGTGTGTGTGTGTTTTCTGCTTGCATTTTAAAGTGTAGTGTTTCTACAATTACATTGCTAAGTAACCTAGTTAATGTTGATCATTTATGATACTATTTGTGTCCACCCTTTTGGCCCAGGTGGAGTACACAAAGTAAACATGAAAATATTTAGAATTGATATTTACTTTGCCTTTAAAAAGAAACAAAATGCACCATCATACTGAACCATCTTCTGTGAGCATTACAATGTTTGCTCTGGCACTTGGTTTTCATAAGAATGGCTAAGTTCCAAGCATAAAGAAGATGTTAAATGGAAGAACTTTTGTGAATAAAGTATATCTAGTCTATCAGAGACACTAAGCCAGTAGCCCAACAGTGAACCTGTGTCTCAGCTGACATCATTCAACCAAATGTGATATACCAGCTACACAAAGAATGGCAAAGAAGAGGAGATCACATTTGCTTTTAGCAATGAGTGCTCAAGCAATTAAGACATGGTTAGCATCTTAGCAGACAGCACTTATCTCATGGTCTCACAAACCCATGTAGAATGCCCTCTCTGTGTCTCTGTCTCTGTCTCTCTTTTATAATTAGGCTTTGCAGATTATTAACTGGTAAATGTGAATATCTCAGGAGAGGTAGGGGGAGAGGAGGGGAATAGAAGGAAGGGGAAAGGGAAGGACAGACAGACAAAAAACAAGTCATATAACAACTTGGATGTTGACTTCTACCATGTGATTCCCAGGGATATAACTCAGATTGTCAAGCCTGGAGGCAAGCACCTTTACTCACTGAGCCATTTGTCAGTCCCCCATACCCCTCATGACCATCCTTTCTTTTCCCATTGCTCCCATGCCCTTTGTGCTTAATAGTAAGTTTACAGACTCTTTTCAGTTGTGGTGACTCTACTGTCAAAGCCTCCCTTCTAAGTTTCCATGTCCCTGGGTTCATTTTTAGTCAGACTGATCCCTGGCCTAATCACATATCAGCCACTGTGGAACTTCAGCCCTTTCTCCCCTCAGTCCTTTGTTTAGTAGACTGCATATCACCCTCAGCATGGGTGGTGGCTGGTGGACTAAGAACTCTTTAGTACCAAATTTCTAGGAAAACAGAGTAAATTTTCACAGTGATCCACATAGATGGTTCAGAACCTGAAGGGCTGATGGAAACTCACATGTTTGAGTTGCCCTCAGTTTCCTGATTTGACAAACTTCTCAGCTGTGGCCCCAGAGTTTGTGCTTCTGTCAAGTTCTTAGTGATGATGTACATAGAATGTCATCTGGTACTTGAGGCTAAGCATGGTGAAGTTGATTTTTTAAAGTGCTCACCTTTCTTTTGAGTCACCAGAGATTTACTTTCTGTGACTAGCCATTAGAATCTCACAGGATATAAGGATTGCCACCCAAATGAGGTACATGCCTTGGCTTTCTATAAATTTGAAAGAAATGTATTAACCAAATGCAGGCAGGTGGGAGGAACTCTTCTGTTGTGTGATATACATGACACGTGAGTAGTGATAACAGTTTGCAATGAAGAATGTGCTTAGAAATCATCTTGCCTAAGTCTTCACACTCTGTTACCATGACACCAGTAGCTGATGTGTGTTCTACTCTCCAGTCTTCATCTCTTACTTCTCCTTATGGCTCGTACCCCCAGAGTCTTTGCCATGTGTTTATTTTCCTTTCTGAGTAGTTCCTTCTTCAAATATTCAACTTCAGCCTTCTCCATACTTTGGTACAACCATTGATTCCTACCTCCAAATCCATAGATTTGACTTGTCATTGCAGGTCAACTTAGAGCTTCTACTTATCTCTTCAAACACTTGTCAGGGTGTCATATGTACTTGTGTGCTCAAAGTATCTGTCCTCCCATCTGGATTATATTGCAAGTAAGGAACTGCCATACCTTTTAGTATAGCTTGTATGTCCATGCACCTGTCACATATTAAGGGGTGCATTGAGAAAAAATGCTTAATGTGTTTTCTTTAAAGTCGTGTCCATTATACCATGCCTCTTACCTAAATACATTACCTTTTTCTCTGGGTAAAAAGGTATTGAGTGTGACTTCTGCTAAATAAATCAATCAATCAATAAATAAAAATAATAGAACCAAGTCCCTGTAAAAGTACCTACATCATAACAGTATGTGGAAAGCAACACAAGCAGCTGTTGATGAGTGAATAAAGAAAATATAGTAGAAGCAAACAAAGAGCTATTGTTTATCCTACAACATAACTTAACCTTGAGGTTAATTTTACCTTTGTATGTTACTGGATTATGAGTTTTCTAGAGGAGTATGTGTTTTGTTTTGTTTTGTTTCTCTGTGAACGCTAAAGTAAGATGTGCAATACTATTTATATGAGCTACCTAAAATAATCAAATGCATAGACACAGGATGGTAGAAGGGTGCTTTCTATGGAATGAGGAAGGCAGGGAATCCAGAGTTGGATGGGTATCAAGCCTCAATTTGAAAAGATGAAAGGCTCTGGAAATAGCAAAAACAGTTCCAGAACAATATGAAATGTTATTAATACCAGTAATTGTACAAGTTACAGGGCTAGAGAATGTGGCTCAGTTGGTAGCATTTTTCTACCATGTGCCAAGCTATGAGTCTGATACTCCGCACTGTATAAACCTAGGCAAGGCAGTAAATAACTGTAATCCCCACACCTGAGAGCTAGAGGAAAGAGGATTAGAAGTTCAAGGTCATCCTCAGCTACACCAGTAATTTGGGCCAGTCTAAGGTACAATTTAGACTATGATTCCAAAATGGTGATTAAATCAATTGAATTGTATTGTGTATATTTCACCACAATTAAAATTATAATAAGCTAAATTTGTTAGAACAGGCCTATAATCTGAGATTTTAAGATGTTAAAACAGGATGATGTCATGAGTTTGACAATAGCCTCTGCTACAATGTTGACCCTGTCTCAAACTTCAAAATAAAGAAATAAAATAATTACATAATATTTATAAGAAATACAGATAGTTAGAAGGCCTGGGTAGTCTAAGGGACCCCTAACAGTGGAACCGGGATGTATCCCTGATGCACAAAATGATTTTGGGAGCACATTCCCCATGGAGGGATATTCCCTTAACCTAGAGGCAGGAGGGAGGGCCTAGTCCCTGCTCCAAATGACTTGATAGATTTTGTTGATCCTTCCTGGAAGGCATCACCCTCTGTGTGGTATAGGAGGGGAATGGAATGAGAGGGTGTTCAGGGGGTGTGAGAGGGAGGGAGAAAGAGAGGGAGGGAGAGGGAACTGGGATTGATATGTAAAATAAGAAAAGAAAAAGAAATACAGACAGTTAATCTTCTTATCTCAATGCACTTCTATTGAAATTTAGGAAAGGCTGGCAACAGTGATGCCATGTTATGAGACTTAAGGACAGCTGAAGTCTTTAAGGTTCCTGAAAATGGCTACAGCACTATAGAAGGAGGAGGAGGAAAGGAAGGAAGTAAGGAAAGAGAGAGAGACAGAAAGAGGGAGAGAGAGAGAAAGGAAGGAAGGAAGGAAGAGTAATGAAGAAATAACTTCTTTCCATTATGATATATTAGTTGTAATATCATCATACTTTTAATATCATTCATCCCTAATAGGTAGGCAGTCAGCATAAATAGAAACTACCCCTTCCATCATCATTCACACACTCTACAATGTATAGTACTTCTTAGAAAACAGTAAAGTGTCTGTCAACATTGAATGAGTGAGTAAATAAACGAATGAATAAAGAAATTGCTAAACATTGCCATTTTGCTTCTAAGTAAACAAAACTTCAATAAGCTAAAATCACACAGCTAGACAGCAACACTGATAAAACAAGATGCCCGGCTAGGAACTGATAATATATCAAGATTTTATAAATATTAAAACTCTTTTGCATGACTATATTGTGTCACAATTTGATGATATCAAACTAAAGAAAAAATAATCATCTTCCTGGGACTAACATTGTTTTATGCATTACACATGCCTAATCCAGTCGTAGCACACCTATGTTTCCAGAGGAAGGTTGCTTAAAACCATGACTATGATTCTGAATAGTGTCTGGACAAGGTAAAGTGTGTGGACTAGGCTCAAGAAATGTGTCTAAGAGGCTCAGGAACTAACTTGTCATCTCACCCTTGATAGTTCCTCCTCTCCTCTCTGGATTTCAGATCTCTCAGCTGTAAACAATCTTCTAGGGAACACTCCTCTATTCAGCATCCCTGGGTTCTACAGGAAGCTTAACAATTCTTGAGAGTCTGATTCAGAATCCCCAAGTGGCAGGCAGCAGCATTTGAGAAGAAAGAATTAAAATAAACCATCTCAGGTCTCCCATTATCCTAATGGACACAGCCCAAAACAATCAGTTTTGTGGTCCAGTTTCCATCCAGCAGGATGCTTCCTGCTTAGGTCAGTACCTGCTAATCATACAGCTAAGCTGTCACACAAAGTGATGAATGTGGAAAACAGCCTTCTGGGGAAAGGGCCAAAAATCTTCTCTTCCCAGCCAAAGAAATCAAGAGAAGTGATTGCCTCATTCAACTCCTAGGACCCTAGTGAGAGGAATTGTTTCAAGCTCAAGCTCTGGCACTAAGTCTGTCTGCATCTGTGTGGGTTACCCACAGCTTCTGAAAGGGGTTGTTACAAATCTAGTTATTCATGAACTCTTATAGCGAGCTTAACCCACCATGGCTTTTGTTCCTGAACCTTCAAAACTGATTTTCCTGACTCCCTCTGTGTTTGTATCAGATGTCCCTATGCTGTGCTCACACAATGCCAACATTTACCTTTGTCACATACTAATTATTTGTAGATATCTATTTCCTGCCTGTCTCAGAGTGCCTTAAATGCAGGGACTATGTCCACATTGTCCATTGCTACAAGACCAGTGCTTGATGCAGCTTTCAAAAATATAAGAAATAAATAAATTTATATTTACTTATTTACTTTTCTGAATTTTGATTTTCTAAAGGCAGGTGTTAATGAGCTTACAGTCAGGGACTTGTTCTAGAAGCCGCACATACTTGTTAATCCAGCACACAGAAGGTAGAGACAGGGACTGCAAGGTCCATGACCACTTGGACTACATTGCAAACTTTGAGATCAGCATTGACTGTAATTGACTGTACAGTGAGACTTTGTTTCAAAAAACAAAAACACTCAAATACAAAGGCTGAACAAACAAAACAGACTAGATGTAGAAACACCTGCAGCATATCAACTTATCTGACAGGTCTCCCTAATTCTGGCTTGTTATGATGGCGTCCACTGACACTCCTCTTCTGTCAAAGCCATTTCTATATCCGCCTTCAAGCTTAGATAGCTTAAAATCATCAAATCTTCTCCTATGATCTTAGAGCCACCTTGAGCTCTTTCTTACATTTTCTCACATTTTGACATGTTGGTGCTCTGTAATTTAAGAAGCCTCAGGTCTAGTCTCAGATTTGCTAACAAACCTAGGATTGTGTCACTATCACTGGGACTCCCTTGCATCTCCAGTTTCTAATATGAAATTAAATGAACCCAATTAATCAACTGTTCTAAATCATTCCTCCTCTCTTTCTTACTATAATGTATCATTTCTTCCAGGCACAGAAATCTATGCAATTGGTTAGCTGAACTTTGATACTTTATCAATGCATTTTCTTGTGTCTCGAAAAGGCCCCTTTCACAACAGCTTCCTAGAATCTCTTAAGTTATTATAAACAATATTTGTAGGTTCCCAATGTGCACAGTGCCAGGTAACACATACTCAGCTCGTAAAGCCACATTGACTTCTACTTTTGTCCAATTCAAATATCGCCATCTTGGTGTCAAAAGATATCCCATTTCTTGCTTGTAAGATTTTCTATTCCTGTACTGTGTGGTCTGTGGTCTGCTCCTGTTTAAGTCAAGGGCAAGACTTATAAGAATTCTTTAGAAATCCACTGAACATTTTTCTCTGAGAAAGAAGCAACCAAGTGATACAGTGAAAGTACATCTAATCTCTCAGAGCCACACAGCAGACCACAGCCATAATGAGCAGCAAAACTGCTTCCCAGGTGCCTCATTTTTACCTTCTATGGTGAAGGCAATACTTTTATGGTACAGAAATCACCTATTCAATTTCAAGCACTAATAAATGGAAATGAAATATACATTCCATACAATCATTGCTGAGCCCACTGTACTGTGACCTAAAGCATAGACCAAAAATGAGTGTATTACTTGCCAGAAACCAATATCCTTCTACTGCTTTCCCCTCCGTATACACACAAGCACACAGATCTCTCTATCTATCTATCTATCTATCTATCTATATCTCTATCCCTATCTATCTCTATCACTATCTCTCCCTCTCTCTCTCTCTCTGAATGCATGACACTGGAAAAACATTTTAATCTTTTTTTTTTCCTTTTTTAAATTAAATCTGAAACAAGGTTGCTTTACAAGTGAATCCCAGTTCCCTCACCCTCCCATCCTCCCCTGTGACTCCCAACAAATCCCAGTCCATTCCCTTTCTGCTCCCCAGGGAGGGTGAAGTCTTCCATGGGGAAAATTCAAAGTCTGTCATATCACTTGGGGCAGGGCCTAGGCCTTCCCCTATGTGTCTAGGCTGAGAAAATATCCTTCTATGTGTGATGGGCTCCCAAAGTCCATACCTACACTAGGGATATATCTGATCCATTATTAGAGGCCTAATATACTGCCCAGTCCTCCTAACTAACATCCATATTCAAGGGGTCTGGATCAGTCCTATGCAGCTATCAGACTGGAGTCCATGAGCTCCCCCTTGTTCAAGTCAGCTGATTCTGTGAGTTTCTCCAGCCTTGTCTTGATCCCCTTGCTCATCACTCATTCCTCTCTGTAACTGGATTCCAGGAGTTCAGCTCAGTGTTTAGCTGTGGGTGTCGGCTTCTGTTTCCATCAGCTACTGGAAGAGGGCTCTAGGATGGCATATAAGGTAGTTGCCAATCTCATTACTTTGGAAGGGCATTAAAGGCAGCCTCTCCACTATTGCTTATCTAAGCAATAGTTTGTTAGTTGGGTTCATCCTAGTAGATCTCTTGGCATTTCCCTAGTGCCAGATTTCTCCTTAAATCTACAATGGCTCCCTCTATTATGATATCTCTTTTCTTGTTCTCCTCTATTCTTTCCTTGTATCAGTCTGCCTATTTCCATATGCCCACCTCTCCCCTTCTATTTCTCCTAACTCCCTCTCTCTTCCCTCCATGCTCTCAATTTGCTTAGAAGAACTTGTCCCTTCCCCCTTCTTCAGTGGACCACGTATATTAATCTTAGGGTTCTCCTTGATTCCTAGCTTTACTGACAGTGTGAATTGTAGGCTGGTAATCCTTTGCTCTGTGTCTAAAATCCATATATGAGTGAGTACATACTTTGATTTTTGTGACTGGGTTACCTCACTCAGGATGGTTTCTTCTACTTCCATCCATTTGCCAGAGAATTTCAGGATTCCATTGTATTTTTTCCACTGAGTAGTATTCCATTGATTAAATGTACCACAGTTTCTCCATCCATTGCTCAGTTGAGGGGCATCTAGGTTGCTTCCAGGTTCTGGCTATTAGAAATAATGCTGATATGAACATAATTGAACAGATGTCCTTGTTGTATAAATGTACATCTTTTGGGTATTTGCCTAAGAGTGGAATTACTAGGTCTTGAGATCCTGATTTCAAACTCTATTATAGTGCTAAAGTCATGAAAACAGCTGAGTATTGGCACAAAAATAGACTGGTAGACCAATGAAATTGAATTGAAAACCCTGATATTAACCCACACAATGAAGGACACCTGATTTTTGACAAAGAAGCTAAAGTCATATAATGGAAAAAAAGAAAGCATCTTCAACAAATGGTGCTGGCACAACTGGATATTGGTATGTAGAAGACTGCAGATAGATCCATATCTATGCATAAAATTTAAGTCTAAATGGATCAAAGACATCAACATAAATCCAGCCACACTGAACCTCTTAGAAGAAAAAGTGAACAAATTGGTATGGGAGACTGCTTCCTGAACATAACACCAGTAGCACAGGTACTGAGATAAACAACTAATAAATGGGACCTCCTGAAACTGAAAAGCTTCTGTAAGGCAAAGGGCATAGTCAACACAATGGCAGGCCACAGAATGGGAAAAAATATTCACCAACCCCACATCTGACAGAGGGCTGATCTCCAAAATATACAAAAAACTCAAGAAGCTAGTTACCAAAACACTAAATAATCCAATTAAAAAGTGGGGTACAGAAATAAATAGAGAATTCTCAGTGGAGGAGTCTAAAATGGCTGAAAGACACTTACAAAAGTGCTCAACATCCTTAGCTATCAGGGAAATGCAAATCAAAACAACTCTGAGATACCATCTTACTCCTGTCAGAATGGCTAAAATCAAAAACACTGAAGACAGTCTATGCTGGAGAGGATGCAGAGAAAGGGGCAC